ATCAGCCCAGAGGTTGTTTCAGGGTTTGATCTATGAGTTAGCAGTGTTATTTAGTTTTTTAATTTTACCTTGTTTTTTCTTTCTTCCTCTTGTTCTTCCCTTGACCAAACATCCCCGTGGGTGCATCCCTGAGAGCAAATGCTTTAGCCACGTGACCTAGGTGCAGATTCTTGATGTGGAATATGTGTTTTAGATCGGCGGGGAATGTGGYATAAGAGCGCACGAATGACTGATAAGCTACCAAACAAAGAAAACTAAGTAAGCGAAACAGTACAGTGTTACCACTCAACAAGGACCACTCAACACCCTTAAAGTGGAGAGGGTTGAATCGGAGAAAAGTTAAGGAGAGTAGTATATGATATTAGAGCGGTTTTTATATGAGTGGGAAACGTGCCGCTGCGGTACTGACTTACAACACGTACATGGTACGACATGCCGTAACATTGAAATGGCTTCCCACAAGAATTTATCGTATGAGTGGGAAACGTACGGTAGTGACTTACAACACGTACATGGTACGACATGCCGTAACATTGAAATGGCTTCCCACAAGAATTTATCGTATGAGTGGGAAACGTACGGTACTGACTTACGACAGGTACACGGTACGACATACCGTAACAGTGAAATGGCTTCCCATATTGTCCTCCAGTAATTCATCCAATCACAACACGTAGTTACGTTTACACAAGAGAATATTCTCTTGGTTTACAGTACGGCCACAGTACGGTACGAATGTGCTGTATCGTTCCCTGCTCATACTAGTCAGGTCTCTTATGGTCTTGATCGTTACAGAGCTTACAAAAGCACCAAACGTGGCATAGTTGTAGCTTATGGTGGTACTATCAATGTTAGAGGGGGAGCCCAACGTAAATTGTCCTTTAAGGGGAATTACGGAGCATTTACTTTTTCAGATTTCACGAATTGGGCTCCCTGTGCTTCTTTTTTTGAATATATTCATTAAATATGTAAAATCGTTTTGAATAAATTTTAAAACAGCTATCTACCCATTGGAATGCATTATCTGTCATGGCTATCGATTACAACCCCAAATGTTAACAAAAAAGCTACTTTTCGGCATCTCTTTCAAACACTAGTGGCCAGTCCCACTCGGCCATTGGCTAAATCCAAGATGGCGNCAACACGTAGTTACGTTTACACAAGAGAATATTCTCTTGGTTTACAGTACGGCCACAGTACGGTACGAATGTGCTGTATCGTTCCCTGCTCATACGAAACCCGCTCTAAACTAAGTTTGTGTTGTGGATGTTCGTCTRTGCGTTAACTGCGCAGTATAGAGGTGAATGGGTCCAAGGTGGGGCCAGGATTAGAGCAAGACGACCGGTATGAATCGATATCTAGTAGACAGCGCATTCTCTACATGGTAGAAACCAAGCTGTACTGATAACATTCTTCCCCTCTAACATCTGATAACATCCTTCCCCTCTGTGYACGAGGCTCGCGGGCTATTTTCTTCTTTATTGGTTGGAATCAATAAGGTGAACGATTCTTATAAATTTAATTACCAGCCTTCAGTGAGGGGCAAACACTGCCCCCCCCCCCCCTTTTCCCGGTAAAAACTCCACGCGAGACCGGAAATGACATATTTTGATAGTACCTTTTTTAGCCGATTTAATATGCTCTACATTCGACAAGACGAATTCTTCGAATTTCAACTGCAGACTTGTAGCTGTGTCTTGTACTTGATGATCAATGGAATCCTAAAAGAAACGTAGCATTTTGTGAGTATGACTTAACATTGGCCAGTCAATGCGTCTCGTGTTTAGTAGAAAGGTCAATCTGAGTAAGTCTGCTGTGACAGACTTGACAATGAAACAATCTACCACAGCTCTCACGTTCAACAACGGTAGAACCTCTATAAAACGACCTCCCTTGRAGGATTGTCGATTGYCGATGGTCGCTAAACAGGGGTTGGTCGCTTAATAGAGGTATCTAAATGAGTGCGAAAACCAGGTTTGGGACTTTAATAACTGGTCGTGAAATAAAGGTCGAGGCCGCTTAGTAGAGGTATGAATGGCCACTGATAAAGGTTGGTCACTTAATGGAGGTTCTGCATACTCACTTTATTCTTTCCTCGTTTATCAGGCTTTGTTTTCTCAGCAGGCAAAAGAGTTYGCAAGATATCTGAGACTAACACTTCTTTCGGTCTAAAGATAACAATAGGAAAGAAATGGTAATAGCCRAAAAAAAGTATGCAAACTGTGCATGGTAAATAGCCCCTCCAAAAAAAAAGTCTCACCTTATGGAGTGTTCTGCAAGTGTATCCAAATACCCAGCCTTAAATAACAAGAAAATAGAAAACATAAGATCAGTGCCAAAAAAATGGGATAGAATGTGTGTCTTCACATGACCCAGATTACTGGCTTTCTTACGACGCATTCAGAATTTCGTCATGCATGCACACTATAACAGGAGTCTGGGGTCAAGATTAAAATAGCCAATGTAAAAYGAAAATTGAGTTCCACTCTGATTTGTCCCGAGTGGAAGGTTTCTCCACTGCGGGAGCAGTCCCTGGGAACGATAAATCCTTGCGCCAATTAAAACCAATGCCAATAATCACGCATGCGCAAATAGAATTCAAGGTAAAACTCACTTCTGAGGGGGTGAGAAAGATAAGAGCTTGTCCTTCGGTACCAATCCTCGCCGTTCGTCCTACTCGATGTATATAGTCTACAGCACTGCCTGGAGTATTGTACTGGAAATATAAATATGACGCAGATCAGCCCAGAGGTTGTTACAGGGTTCGATCTGTGAGTTAGCCGTGCCCTGACTTAGATCAGTCCAGAGGTTGTTTCAGGGTTTGATCTGTGGGTTAGCCGTGCCCTGACTTAGATCAGCCCAGAGGTTCTTTAAGGGTTCGATCTATGACTTAACTGTGCCCTGACTTAGGTCAGAATAGAGGATGTTTAGGGTATCGATAAAAAGTGTTTTTTTAGAAGGTCCAGACGCGTTAGGGCTTACCTGGACTATCCAGTTAACATTAGGGAGGTCAAGGCCTCGTGCAGCTACGTCCTGCCAATAAATACATACAAAAAGATTTAGTATATAGCATATTCAGTAGAACATTTGCTAGACTAGGCTCAAACGGCTTTAAAATTGCTACCATGCAACCTTAAAAAGATAGACTTGATAAGTTGCAAGTATTCCCAAAAAATGACACAACATGGCAAGTGAAATGAAAAGTCTTTCGTTAAATACTATCAACATGGCCGCGTTGACACGACATATTAATTTACTAGCGCATCAACCTGTAATTCAGTTTTYTTAAATTGCAATGGGTGTGAAAAAACAAGATATTATTATTGTACCGACGTTTACAAGGGATAAAGTTTCTGTCTAAGGTCTGCTACTTTGCCACACTCACCGTGCATAGTAAAACACCTCCTGTACAAGAACTATACTCACTGAACACCTCTGTACGTTCCTGAAATATGTAATAGATATGTATGTACAGTATAGAGGAATGTAATTATATGAGTTGAATAATWAAGATACATCAGTGTACTTACAGATTGGGACATGTTGCCGTGAAGTTTAAACAGCTTGAATTTCCTTCCTGTCGTGTGAGACATATATTAAAGTGATTAAGAAAAAAGCATTAAACTTTTAGAGGCCAAAACAATAATACTCGGGCAATGATGTAAATGACGATGATGATACGAGATGATGATGATGATGATGATGGTGTTGCTTGTGATGATATTGGTGATGATGATGCCAATGATATACTGTGATGATGATGATGTTGGTGATGATGATAATGATGCTGATGATACACTATGATAATCATGATGATGATGATAATGTTGATGTTGTTGATGACTGATGATGGCGATGATGACAGATATGAAATCTGATGATGATATACTATGATGATGATAATGATGCTGATGTTGATGATGCTGATACACTATGATGATGATGGTGGTGTTGATGATGATGATACACTACAAGTATGATGATGATGATGATGTTTGGAAAGAGAAGGAAGAGGAAGATGAGATATTCAGCCTATATGTGTCATTACCCTCAGCTTCACAAAGCACTGATAGCAACAAAGTATGATGAAAGTCCACTGAGTCTCGACTTGATAGAAACACAATACTCTTACAGGGGTGACTAACCTGCAATGGATTAAAAATATTCATGTTATTATACATTTTCCTCTCTTCCTCATTTCTCATTGGCTGAGAGCCTACAGCCAATCCCTGACATTTTGTGAACTCAACAGGACAAATCTATTATTAACAAAAAAATTGAAGAAAATACTGTAGATTTATCTTACAAAAACTAAACTAAATTAAAAAACCTTTGTCATTTTTCTAAAAGCAGAATAAATCTTTATTTTAAGTTTTTGAAATGTATTWTTATTAAAAATTAGACACACATGGTACAACCCACAATCGTTACTACATACTGTATGCACATTGTGTTTTGCAATAAGAAATGCAGCCAGTGCTATGAGCCTCATCTTACTGGGTACAATCACAAAAAACTGTTTTAACTGCTGTGGGGTGTTTTGAGTGTCGTCTTCTTGTACAGCCTAAAAAATAAATTCTATAAGATTAATTGAAACTGGYGTGTTAAAAGAACAGAGCCAGGCAGGGGCGAATCCAGGGGTGGTAAAAGGGGTGACTAGTCACCCCCCTTTTGCTCAAATTTCTCAGTATATTGTTAGTAACAGTCACCTCCTTTTACCTCGAATTTCTGTTAAGACCTTTTGTACTATGAGCTGGTACGAACTTCTGAAATTCCTGGATCTGCCCCTGAGAGGGTTTTTATTTGAATAACAAATTAAGTTTTGAATTTTTGAATTGAAGATGCAGATTTTGGAACTTCTTAGTACAGGTATGGGTTGCAATGGAACACGAAAAATACATGTTGTGAAAACACAAAAGAAATCACACTTTTTCTTGATAAAAATTGTGGCATTTCTTTTGTATTTCCATGTTAAACTYRCATTMTAAGACAATTTTGCGAAGAGTTCATTCAAGTGCCCAAGCTAGTTACGAGCTGATCAAGTTTTCAAAGATTCAGTTTTCTGTTACTTACATGAGGTATATTTTTAGGCTCATTTGTTTGTCTGTCAGTAGCATCTTTTGTTCCACTTTCATCCACAAACTGAGGATCTGACAAGAACATGTGAACAAGCTTTTCCACACCTGAAAAACAACCTTTTTACTTAKTCTAAATTCAACAAAGATGCAGTCCATTCAAAAGTTTGTAGTCGAGTGCAAACACTAGGCATATCCATAAAACAGTACCATTATATATACCTACTTGCAAAAACGTTGTCATACGAAAATAGAACATTAGTGATTTAG